CCGGGACCGACATGAAGGGCGCAAACAGAGCACTACGGAGGCCCAGAAGAAAGCAGCTCCCGCTGTTGTTAAACAGGTTAGTTGGGGGCTGAAGGGAGACCCTAGAGCAACAGGTTGGCCTGGGAAAGCAGCAGTGAGCCTCATTTGACAGCCCCTCCCCACAGGCTGATCGCCGCCAGTCCATGACCTTCAGCATCCTCAACACGCCCAAGAAGCTTGGGAATAGCCTTCTGCGGAGGGGGGCCTCAAAGAAAGCCCTGCCCAAGGCCTCTCCCAACACCAGCAGTGGAACCCGTCGCTCTCCTCGCATTGCCACCACCACAGCCAGCGCTGCCACTGCTGCTGCCATCGTTGCCGCCACTTCTCGGGCCAAGGGCAAGGTTGGGGCACTGGCAGGGAAGAGGGAGGCTTAACTCTTAGGAACACCAGTGGAAGTATGGGACCGCTTCCAGGGCAGGCCTGCTGGGGGCTAAGCAGGTGCTCCTTGTCTTGGTCAGTGGCTTATTGAGGAGAGGAGGCAGACAACTCTACTCCTGAGAAAATCCAGAGTTGCTTAGACACATCTAGCACCTGGTAACCTGAAGGTAGCTCTGTCCAGGGCCACGCCATGGAAGGGATCCTAGTCAGGGCCATGGGAGCAGGAAGAGGTCTTCCCACGCCAGCTGGTGCAGGCTGGTGTCACAGCCACGTGACTGTTTCTCTCTTTCAGGCAAAGCACTAAAGGACCAGTACCAGTGAGTGGCCCCACCTGTGTCCCTGATGCTGCCCTTGCCTGATGCTGTCCCCTCAGTGCCTTCTCTCAGCTTTCAGGCCAACAGTGGCCAAACCCCTAGAGACAGTGATGCCTGACACACCTTGGCCTGGTACCTGGACCTTTATCAGAGCCTTCACTAGGAGAACAGATGTGTCGTCAGAATTGGCCTGGAGCCCGAACAGTCTGGGTCCTCTCCCTACCTTGCCTCCGGTTTTCACAAAGCAAAGTCACTTCTCCATGACAACGAGATGTGAGGCTGGCTTTGAGGACTGGGTCCTTGGGCCCAGCCAGTCCTCCTCAACCTCTGTATTTAGAAGGGACCATCGGAGGAGCAGGCCCTGGTCCCTGCTGTTGCTGGTGGCTAGCCTTACCAAGGGCCCCTGTTAAAGTCTATGGTTGGGCATTGACCTAGTAGGAGCACCTGGGGATAAGGTGTTCCCATCCATCCAAGGGCAGTTACCCAGAGGATGCTCTTTTCCATGACCGCCAGGCTTGCTGGGGTGGGGGAGGGTGGGGACAGCTCATCCCCCACCTTCTCTAGACTTGTACTGGGGTGGGATTTGGATTGATGGGAAGGTTTTTAAGGGCCAGGGATGGATCTTTTCTAAATGTTATTACTTGTAAATAAAGTCTATTTTTCTCCCTTGGCTGCTAAGCTGCCTGATCTGTGTGGGAAAAGCCCAGAGGGGACTCTGGGCTTGTGAGAGCATACTTTGTTCCTGCTCAGTCTTCAGACCACCTACCTTCTTTCAAGTCCCTTCTCCTGGCCTCTGCTCATGGAGCAGTATGGGCTGTCTTTTTCTGAGGGCCTCTGTCCCCTGAATCTGGTTTTGTCTTTAACTTCTGAATGGTACTCTTCCCATAGTCCCTCTTAGAATGGGCCAAGTTCTGTGAATGGGAGAATGGCCTCAATCAGAAGATGTCAGCTTGCCTCCACTGAAAAACACCTATGAATGCCCATTGTGGGCCTTGCTAGGTATAACAAAGACACAGCTGTGGCCCTAGCCAATCTGGCTCAATGGATAGAGTGTCGGCCTGTGCATAGAAGGGTCCCGGGTTTGATTCCTGTCAAGGGCACATGCCTGGGTTGCCGGCTCGATACCCAGTGGGGGACTTGCAGGAGGCAGCCGATCGATGATTCTCTATCATCACTGATGTTTCTATCTCCCTCTCCCTTCCTCTCTGAAGTCAATAAAAATGTATTTTAAAAAAAAAGATACAATTGTGTATCAGAAGCAGCCTCTGCCCAATCTATTGGGGGAGGGAGACAACACAGGCTAGCTTAGATATTGCAGGTTCGGTTCCAGACCACTACAACAAAGTGAATATTGCAATAAAGTCAGTTACAAAATATTTTGGTTTCCACTGTAGTCTATTAAGTATGCAGTAGCGTGTCTAAACAACGTACATTAACTAAAAAACACATCATAGCTAAAAAATGCTATTCACCATCTGAGCTTTCAGTGAGTTGTAATCATTGCTGGTAGAGGGTCTTGCCTTGATGTTGGCTGCTGATAAGAGCAGAATGGCTGAGGGTTGGAATGGCTGTGGCAATTTCTTAAAATAAGAAAATGAAGTTTGCTGCACTGACTTTCACAAATAATTTCTCTATAGAGTGCAATGCTGTTTAATAGTATTTTTATCTACAGTAGAACTTCTTTTAAAATTGGAGTCAAGCCCTAGCCGGTGTTGTTCAATTGGACACTGTCTCATGCACCAAAAGGTTGCTGGTTTATGGTCAGGGCACATGCCCAGGTTGCAGGCTTCATCCCTGGTAGGGAATGTGCAGGAGGCAGCCAATTGATGTTCTGTTCTCACATCCATGTCTCTCCAAAAACAAAACAGCAAAAAAATTTTAAAAAATTGGAGTCAATCCTTTTTATTAAAAAAAAATTGATTTTGAGAGAGAGAGGAGGGAGAGAGAAACATCAATGTGAGATGCATTAATCGGTAGCCTCCTGCACATGGCCTGACCAGGGATCAAACCCACCATCACCCTTTGGTGCATGGGACGACACTCCAACTGAGCCATGCCAGCCAGGGCTGGAGTCAGTCCTCCAAACCCTGCTGCTGCTTTATCATCTAAGTAATATTCTAAATCTTTTGTTGTCATTTCAACAAATCTTCACAGCATCTTCACCACTAATAGATTCCACCTCAAGAAACCACTTTGCTCATCCACAAGAAGCAACTCTTCATCCATTAAAGTTTTATCATGAGATTGTAGCAATTCAGTTACATCTTCAGGCTCCACTTCTAATTCTCTTGCTATTTCTTTTTTTTTTTTAATATATTTTATTGATTTTTTACAGAGAGGAAGGGAGAGCGATAGAGAGTTAGAAACATCGATGAGAGAGAAACATCCATCAGCTGCCTCCTGCACACTCCCCACTGGGGAAGTGCCTGCAACCCAGGTACATGCCCTTGACCGGAATCGAACCCGGGACCTTTCAGTCCGCAGGCCGACGCTCTATCCACTGAGCCAAACCGGTTTCGGCCTCTTGCTATTTCCACATCATATAAAGTTACTTCCTCCACTGGAGTCTTGAACCCTCCTAAGTCACCCATGAGGGTTGGAATCAACTTTTTCCAACTCCTGCTAATGATGATATTTCACCTTTCCCCATGAATCACTAATGTTCTTAGTAAAGAATAGTGAATCTTTTCCAGAAGGTTTTTAATTTACCCAGATCCATCAGAGGAATTACTATGGCAACTATCGCATTATGAAATGTATTTCTTAAATAATAAGACTTGAAAATTGAAATTACTCCTTGATCCACAGATTGCAAAATGAATGTTAGCAGCATGAAAACATTAATCTCGTTCATTTCCATCAGAGCTCTTGGGCGACCACGTGCTTGTCAATGGGCAGCATTATTTTCAAAGGAATAGTTTGTTCTGAGCAGTAGGTCCCAAAAATATTCAATAATTCATATTGTAAACAGATGTGCTATCATATATATAGGCTTTGTTGTTCCATTTCTAGAGCACAGGCAGAATAGATTTAGCATAATTCTTAAGAGCCCTAGGATTTTCAGAAGGGTAAATGAGCACTGACTTCAACTTAAAGTCAGCAGCTGCATTAGCTCCTAACAAAGTCAGCCTGCCCTTAAAAAAATATTTTTGGTACTGATTTTAGAAAGAGAAACATGGATCAGCTGCCTTCTGCACCCCCCCTACTGAGGACCAAGCCCCCAACCTAGACATGATTATGCTCAACCAACTAAGCCACAATGAACGGCCAGGGCTCAACCTGCCCTTTGAGACTTTAAATCCAGGCATTGGCTTCTCCTCTCTAGCTGTGAAATTCCTAGATGGCATCTTCTTTGATTAGAAGACCGTTTCATCCACATTGAAAATCTGTTATTAAGAGTAGCAATCTTGCCCTAACCGGTTTGGCTCACTGGATAGAGCATCGGCCTACAGACTGAAGAGTCCCAGGTTCGATTCCGGCCAAGGGCATGTACCTTGGTTGCAGGCACATCCCCAGTGGGAGGTGTGCAGGAGGTGGCTGATCAATGTTTCTCATCGATGTTTCTAGCTCTCTATCCCTCTCCCTTCCTCTCTGTAAAAAATCAATAAAATAATTTTTTTTAAAAAGAGAGAGTAGCAATCTTCATTAATGATCTAAGCTAGATTTCCTGGATAACTTGCTGTAGCTTCCACATCAGCACTGGCTGCTTCACCTTGCACTTCTGTTATGGAGATGGCTTCTTTTTTTTTTTTGGAGGTGGCTTCTTAAACTTCATGAACCAACCTCTGCTAGCTTCCAATTTTTCTATTGCAGTCTCCTCACTTCTCTCAGCCTTCACAGAATCAAAGAGTTGGGGCCTTGCTTGGGTTAGGCTATGGTTTAAAAGAATGTGGTTGGTTTCACCTATCTAGACCACCAAAACTTTCTCCATATCAGCAGAAAGACTTTCATTTTCTTATCAATGTGTTCCCTGGAGTAGCACTTTTAATTTTCTTCAAGAACTTTTCCTTTGCATTCACCACTTGGCTATTTGGTGTAAGAGGGAGGCCTAGGTTGTTGCCTGTCTGGGCTTTCGACATGCCTTCCTCACTAAGCTGAATCATTTCTAGCTTTCGATTTAAAGTGACATACAGATGACTCTTCCTTTCACTGGACATTTAGAGGTCACTGTAGGGTTATTACTTGGCCTAATTTCAATACTGTTATGTCTTGGGGAATAGGGAGGCTCAAGGAGAGGGGGAGAGATAAGGAATAGGCAGTCAGAACACACACATTTGTCAATTAAGTTTACCATCTTATATGAGCACGATTCATGGCACCCCAAAAACAGCCACAACTGTAACATCAAAGACCACTGATCACAGATCACAACAAATAAAATGATGATGAAGTTTAAAATATTTCAAGAATTACCAAAATATGACATGAAGTGAACAAATGCTGTTAGAAAAATAGTGCCAATAGACTTACTTGACACAGGGTTGCCACAAACGTGCGATTTGTAAAAAAAATGCATGAACTGTGAAGCACAATAAAACGAGGTGTGCCTATATAAATATATAGCATTAAGTTGACAGACTGTGGCCTGAGCTGACAGCCTAGACCTAAATGAAGAGGTGGCGTTTCAACCAGGCTTGAGTTCACCTGTCAGGATGGTGAGGCAGAGGGAGTCCTCTGGAGGCTTCTTGAGTTGGAGGCACGAGTGTCCTCAGCCCAGCCTGGGAAGGGAAGGCAGACAAGGATCAGGGCCGTGGGGGAGGGATATCTGTCACTTTCCTCGAGGCCACGCCTCCTCTGCTTAGTCTGAAGTTCTTTGTAGTTCCACCTTGGGCCTGGGGTCTTGGGGGAGTGGTGGTCCTTAGCTGGAGACTGCTCGGGGCATAGCCCACCCTTTCCTCCCCACACTGGAGCAGAGCTCCGCTCATCCCTGGAAACCTCCCCTCAGGTTCCTCACCAAGAGATCGGCCAGGACAACGTGGCGCTGGACAGTGTACTCAGGGTCCGTGAAAACACAAGAGAAGTTGGTGTGGCGCAAGGCAGGGCTCAGCTCCTCCAGCATCAAGGCCTTCTTCAGCTGAGTGCTGGCACCCCTGTGCTCCCGGCTGCAGCAGAGAAGAAAGGCCATGAGAGGATGGCAGGAGGAGGCCTCCCTCCTGTGGGCCTCATCCCCATGCCCCTCACCTGGTGCTGCCCTCCTGCAGCCCGTCTGGGAGGTGCTCGATGAAAGAACCATTGCCCAGCCAGTAGAGAATGCTGAAGTGGTGGAAGCGGCTACAGGCGGTACAGGACAGAGTCAGCGTTCCATCTAGGAGCACAAGTGGCTGTCAGCCCTCAGCCTTTCCGCAGAGCAGCCCCCACCCTCTCTTCTGTGGTCTGCCCACCCTCCCCAGCTCCCCAGCGCCACAATTCAGGAACCTAGAGTGCTGCTCGGCACACCACCCAGGTGCAAAAGTCCATTAAAGCAGAAGTGCACTTGTCTCCCACGAGGCCCAGGGCTGAGCGAGAGTTGGGGGTAGGTCCTTGGTTCCAGCGATAATTCCTGAGCTTGTTTATTCAGGAGACCTACTGCCCAGCTTCAGTGACTAGAACCCCCAGCCAAGGGGGCAGCCCTACTGGGGCCACTCCTCCTGAGGTGGCCAGAAGCAAGTGGGCTCTGAGAGGAGGGCAGGGCCTGGGAGCCCACGGCAGTCCGGCTCTGCAGCTTCTCGCCTTTCCTTGTCTGAATACTCTCTGTTCTACTCGATAGGGAGTCTCTTGGGAGCAGGGCCCCGTGACCATGCTCAGAATGCTGGGTGGGAGACGGAACGCTGAGTGCTCAGCCAAGCTGGCCAGGTTGGTAGTGGGCTACATGGCAGAAGGGCAGGGGGTATATTCAGGAGTCAACCCCACCCCTGGACCCTCTGTGCTAACAGCCTCCCTTCTAACCACTGTGACCTCCTGGGCTTTCTTCAGAATTGTTCCTTACTTAGTGAGAGTCCATCTTCTGGCCAGGTCACCTCCAATGCTGGGCACTGCTTAGTTGTGGGGAGCGCTGAGGGGCGGGAGGAGGAGGGGTCTTTTGTGATCCCAGCTGAGACTGCAGCAGCTGTGACGGCCTGGGGTATAGGTGTGGCTCCCGCCAAATGAGAGACGATGTGGGCACACAGGAACAGGAACAGGAACCACAAAGGGCTGGAGTCTGAGGAAAGGACAGTCACGGAGATCAGCAGCTGCCGGCTGCCTGGGAATGCTCAGCACCCGGGCTCAGAGCTTAGCTGAGGGACTTGCTGCCTGGACAGCTCTGGCTGGAGATTCCTGGGCTCTGCTTGGGGAATTGGAGGGGCAGAAGGAGCCTCAGCTCCTGCCTCCCGGCCCTTTTTGAAAGGAGCACGGGGAGGCTCTGGAATGGAGCCAGAGCCACAGCGTCTGGACAGAGGCCGAAAAGAGCGCAGTGGAGAGGGGTCACCTGGGAGTAAGGCTTGGGGCAACCCACGGCTCCATTCTGTTCTCAGACCACTCCCACCCCCGCGTTCT